AGTGTCACGCTCTAATTACTCGGACAGGCGGTTACAGTATTCAAACATTATGATATTTCTAGTATTTATTCATAATGCACATTACAAGGTAAACACAACGCAACTACAATGCAAATTATTGGTCAATAGTAAGATATCTTGCATACGAGTAGAGTGCACTGCGTCTCAGTGCGTTCTGAAAGTGGGTTAAGCTACGCGCCGCTGACTTCACTGCAAAGGTTTCAGTGTAAAGGATTTCAGGACAAAATGAGCTCAAGCACAAAGCAAACAAACGCTCAAAATTAATGCGATGAAACTTGTATTAATGACGTCATTATCGTTTACAAGCAGCAATACCATTAAATCCGTTGTACATTTTTTAGAGAATATCAGAACATTCAGTTTTTTACTTCGAACACGTGCGCGCGTGACCCCCGACATGATCGATTCCTTATTATTTAGCAACAAACCAGTCGAGGCATTGAATTGAATCGTTCGAATGACTGAGAGGAAGCTCGAAGATATTACGATATCTATGTATTAATTGTATAAAATATTTTTGTTCATTTTTTATTGCTTAGATAGGTGGACGAGCTCATGGCCCACCTGGTGTTAAGTATTCGCGGAGCCTATAGACATCTACCACGTAAATGCCGCCACCCACCTTGAGACATGAGTTCTAAGGTCTCACTTTTACCAGTACAACGGCTGCCCCGCCCTTCAAACCGAAACGCATTACTGCTTCACGGCAGAAATAGGCAGGGCGGTGGTACCTACACGTGCGGACTCACAAGACGTCCTACCACCAGTATTAATATCTATCGTAAAATGTATTTGCTCCTCCGCGGATTACAAACGGCCGCCTGAACCCAAATCGTTGATGCCGCCGAGCACCTGAAGACATGAAGTCGAGATCTCTATTAGTCGAGTCTTTGATCGTCGAGTATTTCAGACGTTATCTTGGTGCAGAGAGCGACTAATTAACGATTTTAATAAATGAATCACCACGTGATGAAACCTGTTAAGTATTCGAATCATCGCAAATAATATAGTAATCCCATGTGTCCCATCGTATATTAAAATGACAATAAAAAACGCGAGATTACATAGTGCAAATAGTTTTAATTATAAATATATAGAGTTTAAAATTTAACGTCACGTTTTGATAGCAAGCTGAGCTAAACAATAAAATAACTTATTTCGTATCCCGGTGATCCTAAGTCAGAATATTAGGGAAAAGTAATGAAATTAATGTTGTTATTAGTCGTCCACGTGTTTGCAAAATTTCAACTTAGGTGGAGGTTTTGAAGTTAGTGAAAATAACCTTGAAAGGTTCCGTTACATACAGGTCACATTCATACTGATAGTATCTTAAGGTCGCGTCAGAACGTTACTTTGACAAAGCGGCGCGGCACGATAACCCTCTTATAGTGGCCGCCGCTAATTAATTATCCGAGCCAGGCGACGGGGCCACGCAAAGCCCTTATCTCCAGAAAAATGTTTTGTCGGAACTCCCGGTTCCACTCTCAGTATTTTAGGCTCTTCAAGCACTGTTCATCGTCCTCGTCGAACCCGTTAATTCCGACGAAGAGTTCGACGAGCGAACTAACCCATAAACACAGCCTACTGAGTTTGTCTTCGCGTGTGGGTCGCGCACAGTAGGTCGCGATTCCGATCCGGTTATAGATACTGAAAAGCACTGTTCTTGATAGGGCTAGTGTTAGAATTTTTTTTCAGATCGAGGCCGTGAGCTCACCTATCCGTCTTGGCGTAGTTAGAATCAGCGAATAGGTAGGAAAAAAAACCATAATGATATATACAGATCAACCTAATAAAATTTGTTAAATTAAGAATATCGATATCTGAGTCTATTAAAAATTTGAGACTGAATTGAAAATGATTAGTACTTTTAGTTCTACCTACCTAGAATCTTCATCATCACTCCAGAAGCCAGAACAGATACCAAAATTAAAGTCTTCAAATTTCACCATGTTCTGATACCCTCAAACGCAATAAACTAATTCACATTAACATTAAATCTGGGGATGTGGTTACAATCTTAAAACGACAAGCAACAGTACTGAAGGCTGAACACGTAATGCGCGCGAGGAATGAGAAGTGGGATACATCATCACTAAATTAATGCCTCAATTTACACCTACCACTACGGAGAATATAGAATCAGCAATACAAAAACTGACAAATTCTGCCCATATTAAAATTAATTTTAAAAACCTTCGCTTGCCTTGTTTAAATATATATGTATTGATATGTATTTGAACTACACTGAATTCAGGATTGTCTCGTGCCGGTGACAGTTACATAGCAGCGGCCACACAAGCCGTCCGTTCGTGCGTACAAGACGCTACAGTTGCAAGGGAGCCGATCAATAGCAAAAGGGTCATTGCACCCAACACAAGACACGAACTTCATTAGCTGTTCCCTCTCGTGTTCCCCCAACGACAACCTCAACCGAAATGCTACTTCGATTAACCTCGCCTACATATCACATTTATCTGAACACAACTTAGGGCACATGCCATATTTCACGAAAATGAGAGAGCACCACATCGTGTAATAGAATCAAACTCGTGAAATCTATACATCCATGTATGTATGTACAGCCATTTCGTTACCTACATTTATAATAGATTAATAAAAATATTTCGGGTTATTTTTTCTTTCATAAAGGCCTATAGAAAATAATTATATGTTACAAAGAATGGAATGAAAACAAATTTTGACGTTTCAGTGATTATTATGGTCGAATCTCTGCCATTAGTCAAACACTAGTTATAAATTTACATACTCATTTTTGTACTGCTGGTAGGTTATAATATCATCCTACTCATTTCTGCCGCGAAGCGTCCACGAGCATCTGCTATTACAATACAATGACGCTGACCGTGTGAGACAAGGGCAGCCAGCCATTCTCATGTGAACAAGACACCATGAACAGGAGAACCGTAGCCTGCGTGCTGGTATACCACTAGTATGTACATTATGTTTGCATCTGTACCACGGTATTTCCCCCCGGTCTACCCTGGCGCGCACCTTATCGTACGCTCTACAAGCTCATGAGTATTTCTCGTCGCCAATTGTGACTAAAGTTAATTTGGATCTTGGATTAGTAGAAATATAATTTATTTCGTAATTATTAAATCATTTATTTGTATTTTTTAACAAACAGCAGTAGTGCGCGTATCTCTTCAATTATTGCTCGAACTGTCTACTGTTATGTTATTATCATCACTTGGTGAGATGAAAAAGAACATAATACATTTTAGCGAAACTATTAGTCCAGAGTTGTAATAGTCTCTGTACTGAATTCATTCATTTGCGGTGTAGTTAAATCAACAAACCTGGCGTGTTATCAACACACTTAGTCCCTAATCACAGCCGATTCCAGAATTATAACTTCCCATTTGACATTTAAAACAATAACATTTCCTAGACTATGACGAATACAAATTAGTCTGGATCAAAAAATGTTCGCAGACGAGGGATGAGTAACACAACGTGGGCTGTTGCTGCTCTATGCCGACGGAAACATCGAATAAGTTTGATAATTAGAGGTACGATAATTGGATTTTAAATCAAGAGTTCAGGCAGATACGAGTGGCACATACAATGCATGGGTAGGTCTTGACGGCACCGCAGACATTCTTACACAATTCAAATAATTGGCGTGCATTTAAGATGGTTCTATCGTCGTGAAGGCTTAACAAATTGGTACACGATTAGGTTTTAAGTAATAGTTACAACAAAACAAAACTAGTTTTATAGATAGTACTGAGTAAGACACATCGAGTTGGAGCAAACTTGATGAGTTTAGTCGTACCCATGCAAGGGGCGCGGTGCAAGCCGAACGCGAACCAGCGACCCGATACAAGGATATTCTAAACACTCATGGCACAAGTATTTATCAGCTCAATTACATATAAACGCTGGCAAATATTCAAATCAATGCGGCACAGAGCAATAAGTTCAATTCGACTCACAATCCCATTAGGTGAGGCTAATAAAATCATACTAAATGTATGTACTGAAACTAAACTTGCAAATTAATGATGTAATCCGTTTGCGAAAGGGTTGATATTGTTTAGCAGTTGAGCTCATCACACGAGCCTTATATCATTAATACCAATAGACTATGAGACTTTCAGACTCAATGCACGAGAGCAAAATATATTTCATTACGATTTCAGTAAACGAATACATTTCACTAGTTATCTATTTTATTTATTTATTGCATAGATGGGTAGAAGAGCTCACAGCCGACCTGGTTTTAAGTGGTTACTGGAGCCCATAGACATCTACAACGTATATGCCACCTACTTTAAGATACAAGTTCTAAGGTCTCACTTTTTACAGTAAAACAGCTGCCCTACTCTTTAAACCGAAACGCATTACTGCTTCACGACAGAAATAGGCAGGGTACTTATCTGCGCGGACTCACAAGACGTCCTGCTAAAAGTAATTAGGCAAATTATAATTTTGCGGGTTTATCGGCAGTACTAGCGGTTAGTTTTGTAAGTTGCTGGTCGAGTTCTTGCAGTAGGATCAGAGTGTGGGCGGACCGACTCACCGCTTGCGAGGGATCCACATTCTATACCAAGAACCTACCTAAGCTGATAGCCTTGAGAGGCTATTTCAGCGTAACCTTAACTAGTAGGTGAGCTTACGGGGCTAAAACCGGAGTGTTGCCAACCCTGACCCTAGCAAGAGCAGTGCTTCGCAGAATCTACCACTGGAACGGAAATGCGACCCACTGAGAAGATCCGGCGAGAAACTCAGTGGGCTGTGTTTATGGGTTAATTCGCTCGTTGAGCCCTTCGTCGCAAGCGACGGGTTCGGCGAGGACGGTGACCGGTGCTTGTGGTACCTAAAAGCACCGTTAATGGATCGGGAGAATCCGTAATGACGTGCTTTGGGCGACGTCGACTGTTTACCATTCGGTCTACAGGATCGGGTATGTCACGGGTAGGTATATGTCGGGTATACCAAGAGGAGGCACTGACCGTATTCGATTAGTCTTCCTGTGGGCCGTCTCGACGGTGACGAGGAACACGGCGTGGCTTCTGGACGAGTGCTCGTTCATGTCGGTGCGGCCGGCGGCACGGTGCTTGTTGCCGGCTCGCATCACGCGCACCATCTCCGCCGCGGACTTGCACACAATTGACGTCATCTCCGGGATGTAGAAACCGTTCAGCTCCTGTCAACCAACACTAGGTAGGTACGTGGCGCACAAGCTCGTGGTCCGACGCCAGCACGCCTGCCCTCCTGCAGGTACGGTACCAGCGTCCGACCGTCTCGTCTGATGTGCATAATTGGAGGCAGAACCCAAGCCAGTGTGGGTCAGTAAGGCAGTATTACGGTCAAGTCTATTTATGTCACAAATACAAACCTATTCTTTAAACGCATAATAGCTTTGCGACCTAAAGATGAATATGAAACCCTCACAATCTCTGTCTTTTGAAATCGATAAATTAGTCCCATAAATATGTAGTATTTAGTGACGTACTTTGTAATTTCAATAAAACATAACAATATTTTTTCTTTTAAATTCATTATCATAATATGTTACCAGTTAAATAAATTTTTAAACAAAAGTGAAGATCAGTAGGCATCGCATGAGTCACCTGGCGTTGCATAACAATATCATCGTATATAACGGGCTGTTGTATAATGGATTGTGTTCAGGAAATAACTGCAGACTTCTAATTAATTAAGAGCTGTAGGTACCTATTTTAGAGAACCCGTCGTCTTGCCCTAATCCTGCTACATGAGTTCGGACACGTATTCAGTATCATGTTAAGTACAACTTTAAGATAATGTTAAGGGTGTCGCAAACCCGTCTCAAGACATGTATTATTTCATGATAACGTATTTTTTATTTATTTACTGCTTAGGTATGTGAACGAGCTCACGGCCCACGTGGTGTTTAGTTACCGGAGCCCATCTACAGCCACATCTACAACGTAAATGATGCCACCTACCTTGAGATATGAGCTCTAAGGTCTCAGTTTTATAGTAGATACAGTACAACGGCTGCCCCGCCCTACAAACCGAAACGCATTACTATTTCACGGCAGAAATAAGCAGAGTGGTGGTACCTACCCGCGTAGACTCAGAAGTCCCGCCACCAGTAATTACGCAAATTATAATTTTTTATTTAATTTTTATTACACGATGTTATTCCTTCACCATGGAAGTCAATCGTGAACATTTGTTAAGCACGTATTTAACGTAGAAAAATTGATACCCGCCTGCGGGATTCGAACACCGGTGCATTGTTAGGTACGAATGCACCGGACGTCTTATCCTCTAGGCCACGACGACTTTTTTATTGATATTAATAATATATTGTCAGCGTATCACTAACATCGTAAATCAGTGATGTATTGCTCGGGAACTTGTTAAGGAATACCGAGGAGAAATCGTACCAGTGGTTCAAAGCCCGAGAAACTGTTTATTTAAACTAAAACTCATATTCCTTATTAATATTCAAGCCTCTAATTATATTAACGCACAACAATGCGTAAACACCAACAGTTGATGTGTAGCTCAGAAAATAACAAATGTGTGGCTTGTCGGGTCACTTTCGTTTTCAGAGTCCGCGTCGCGGTCGTAATTACCTACACGTGTGCGGTCGTTGGATAAATATTTAATGGGAATTCACGATGCTATATTGAAGCAAACACTGAAGCACGCGATCTTTTTGACGGTTCATGAATATACTATATAATTAATGATACATTAAGCTGTAGTTCTGATTTAAATTGCGTAAATATATTTTTAAAAAATCCTAACTGTTCACCGGTAGCCTATTGGCGACTATTCCAGCTACGCACTGACTGATAGGTGAGCTCACAGGCTCAACCTGAACGAGTGTGCTAACCAAGAAGAGCGGTGCTTTCCAGAATCTACCACAGGATCGGATCCGTTGTGAAAGTCAGTGGGTTAATAATTGAACATATAGACCTTGTGAGTACAGGGGGATTAAGATATTTTTACACAAAATCGGGAGACAGTGTCTGACGAAGGTTTTATTGCATATCTTCATAAGAAATTATTATTAAGAAGAAAGAAGATTATTATTGTATATTTAAAATAATGAATTTAAAAAAAAATATAACCAGATATTCCATGACTAAGATTTTATTCGAAGTATTTTTGCAATTATTCCTGACGATGTGAAATCAAAGAGAACTTAAAAGTAGGAGTGGAGATCGATACTCGATAGTCACATTGAATTTCCAGTCAAACGTCGCCGCGTCGCGTGTTCTATTTTAATTTGTTAAAAGTTCTAGTCTAGACTCTAAATACTTCAGTCTGGCTCGGAGTGTGGCTATCGGAAGTATAACGCATGTTTTTATTTTTTATTTCTTATATTTTAACTTATTACGTACTACTTATTATCTAACCACTTTCTTAGGTTTGCTTTGTTAATAGTTTTGACCCAAAATAACGAATTATTTCGAAAGAAACCGGACGAAGGAATGCTACAATAATCATGTCTAATTTCAATAGAAACCTAAACGAAAAATTTGAAGCTTTTGTTGTGCTGAAAAAATGACCATAAACATCGTTGTACAACATTATAATTGGTTATGCCATTGACCTCGACCTAGTGTCCAGCGCCACGGCGCGACGCATCAAGCAAGTGGATAAGTGATGTGATCTCATTGTTACAATCTCTAGAGTTCATCTAATATTCAAATTTAGGCTTAACGCAGGTCTTAATACTGAGCTTATATTTTATGTATTTATTTCATGTATTATGATTACAAAATATACATTGAAAATGTTCAGTGTCAAACTTTAACCGTTGTCATGGAATCCAATATTAATTGAGTAGAATCTAGTCTTAGGTTTAGTAAAACGATGGGTTTTAAGTTTTCTAAAAAAACTGTAGGTACTGTTAATATATAAAATTGAGCCGGGCCCAATCACCCAGAGAACACCCAAGCACTAATCTCTCTTTGACAACTTTACTTATTTCAGAGTAGTAATGACATCAAACAACCTACAAAAATAGTCAACAATAGCTTTGTAACACAAAAAAGAATCTAAAAGAATTAAAATATGTTTATTGGAACGATTTAACAGTCGTTAGGTTACGTAATGGGGGTATTAATCCGATCTGATAGTATAACAAGCAGTCGCGTCGCCCGGGAACGACGCCAGCTGTTCAAGCTTATTGTTACTGTTCAACGGAGAGATGACATCAACAGAAACGTAAAATGGGTGCTGTTGGATAGTTTACGAAATCGATCTTATCGAATTATCGATTTCGAAGCACTTGTAGAAAATTCGTCTCATAAATAGAAAATCTTAAAAAAAGATTTAAAGAGCGTTAAGGCTTTCAGGGACACGACCTTCAGCAATGAAGTTTGCGACTAAGAAGAATAACACAGGGGGATTACAGAAAACGCTGTCGTTACGAACACAGTGCTAAATAGTTTGACACGTGGTCATGATGAATTTATTCCATAGTTTTTTATGTTAATTATTTAATATAATAATTGAAATCGGTTGTAAAACATAATAACTCAATTTTGCTTTAGCTTTCAAAGGATAAAATACCGCCTCACCTCACATTGAAATAATCGTTTATTTTAAAACAAGTTTATCACGCAGATAATTATGATATCGATATAATAATTACGTAGCTATTACTGTGTCCGCGCGATTAGCTCCAGAGATCAATGTTTATAACTGAAGTACCTGCTACATACGTTTCGCAAATAAAATAAGATTAAGAGTTTAAATGAATTTAAAGTAATTTCATTGTAAATTTCGTAACGATTCTTCATAAAGGTGTTCGATAAGGGGATTTAGATTACACTATCAGTTCCTTGATCAAATACATATTATTATTTGAAGTCCTCGTGGCCTAGAGGATAGGACGCCCGATACATTCGTATTGGGCGATGAAACTATGCCGGTGTTTGAATCCCGCAGACAGGTGCCAACAATGTTCACGATTGATTTCCACGGTTAAGGAATAACATGGTATAATAAAAATGAAACTGCCGAAATTTTTATTTGCAGAATTGCTGGTAGTAGGACGACTTTTGAACCCGCCCGGGTTCGTGGTTTGCCGTGAAGCCGTCAGGCCTGACAGATCGAGGGCACCTGCTTCGAGAATGCATACTACTGTATTGGAATCCTGACCCGTAAGAAGATCCGGCAAGAAATTATTGTCGTTCCTCTCAAATCGTCACCACTACAGAAAACACTAAACAATAATCATCAATTAAATAGATCTGAAACATTAGACTCAAAGGGTGACGTGAATGTTGTCAGTCGGCACGACGCGTGACCTGACGGTTTGCTGTATGTCAATCGTTAAGGTTCTGTCTGTGGTCGCTACTGTCCCGATTATACAATATACGAAACAAACAACAGAAGCGTCCACTCTAATGCGACGCGTTTCGCCATCGCTTCATCTTGTGTTCTCTGCGAGACACGCAACTTTTACCCCTCATTGACAAATACCACATAATGGACCAGAGTTGGGTTAGGAAGAGGTTTTCAATGGTTACGTTCACTTAATAAGTACTTTATTGCGTGTTTCTTTACTGACAGCAAATTTAAGAAAATTTGATGTGATTAGAATGAGCCAATAGGATAAACGGAATGAAAGCGTCCGTGTCTTTCTTTATACGGAAGACGCCTAACGTACCCGTAGCCGTGTACTAGTTTTTTTAAATTATTTAAAATCTAACACATAACACTATCATAATGATGGATAAACACAATGTAATGCTTTTTTATTTATTTATTGCTTAGGTGGGTGAACGAGCTTACGGCCCACCTGGATTAAGTGGTTACCGGAGCCCATAGACATCTACAACATAAATGCCGCCGCCCGCCTTGAGACGTGAGTTCTAAGGTCTCAGTTTTAACAGTACAACGACTGCCTCACTCTTCAAACCGAAACGCATAACTACTTCACGGCAGAAATAGGCAGGGTGGTGGTACCTATCCATGCGGACTCACAAGAGGTCCTACCACCAGTTAATGATCACATGACTGTCTGCCGGGAGACGCGGCCATGGTCACCCACTACTATCAGCATTGGCTGTACTATCTAAATATCTAAGTAATTATTTCATCTTCCCAACTAACTCCTACGTTGAGTGTTCTGAAGACTCCAGTAACGATATAGTAGCGGGCGGATCGTCAAATACTACACTTCAGCCTTAAAGGTGAGTCTCAAGGTCATGTGTTACGGCGACCGTAAGATTTTAAAACAATAACTGTGTTGATTAAGAGTACATACTGAAAATAGCTGAGCCACTTACAATTTAAATTTCGACCTTAGGATTTAAGTTCACAGGCATCGGCAAACGCTTCATTTTCTTCACAGCCAAAATCAATTACGTGATATTTAAGTGTAGTTAGAAAAAAAAGCATTGAAAAAAAACGTTACTGATAAGTGGCACGTAATGTTCCGGTAAATAAGCTCACGGACGAATTGGATCCGTCGTATCGCGAGGTCGCCTGCCTGACAGCACCCGAGCGAATACGAGATATTGAATGTATGTGCCGCGCGATACGTACCTGTCCTCTAATGGTCAGTTTCTTGCAGTCCTTCGATAGCAGATCCCGTACATCCTCTAAGTACAGTTCGACGTAGGAGCAGGATACCAGATGCGTGACGTCAGGAGAGGCGTTATTCTCGATGTGCGCCCATATGTGTCGGAAGGCTCGCGGGATGACTCCCTCGTGGTCGGGGGTACCCTCCATCGTGTGCGTCTTGCCGGTGCCCGTCTGTCCGTAAGCGAACACGCAGCCATTGAATCCGTCCAGTACCGACGCGACCAGGGGACGTACCTGCAATAACAAAAACAACTAAACTCGTGCACGCATAGAAGAGTCTAGATGCACTTCCATTTTTCCTGCCCCGGGGCGAGGTCTACGTTCAGCGATTCACATCTTACATCTTAAGATTATAATTTAAAAAAAAGTTGATTACATGAAAATATAATTTAATTTAGTTAATTCCTAAAACGTACTATACTAATAGTAACGAACGATAATTGATAATGTATTTCCGATAAGAGCGGTCTACAAGAAATCTAATCGATTTGTTAATGAGCCGACCTCGCGCTCGCAATGCCGATGACTAATCTCGACTTCAATATTAAGACTTCACTACAAAAATAAAATGATTGGCAGCCGTGACCCTATCACATCACTGATGACCATGAGCGACGGTGAGCTCTCCAGCGGGTGGACCGATAACTGTAATGTTTAGACGATGTACATGTAACAGAAACATGTCGTTGTGAATAGTGACGTCACGACGTGCCGAGAAGCACCAAGCGTAGCCTTGACTCACTGATGTTGTGTTCGTTACTAATTATACTGTAGGGCTGTACATATCGATATATACGAATTATAAGACGGCTTATGAGTGCGCGGGTCAGTTCCATATCCCCACACATTGCCATCGCTGGACAATTATGTATTCCGTTTTGAACTGTAGAATCGTCGAAGTATTGTTGAGACAAGGACTTTGTCTCAAGTCGAGCGATTTCTCAGCATACCTATTGGTAAGCAGCTTGGGTAGCTTCTCGCATCGGTGGCTGTTCAAAGACTCGATACGAAATAGAAAAAAAGAGACCAAAGCGTGAATAATTGGTAAAAATCGTAATGAAATATTTAAAGAGTTGAAACCGTCTATACAACAGCCCTGTGCGACAATTACGGTCCAGTGCGAACCACAATGTGTATTATTTCCGAACAAAAGGTGATCAAACAACACACAAACACATAAATATGTTTTATTTCGTTCGAACAATGTTTCCAGCGCGCCAGCACACCAGCACACCGCACCGAGGTGAGGTAAAAGTTAAAACGTTAAATATGATGTTTGATTTTTTTATTTACAGACTTTGAAAAGAGAAGACAGATTGAAGTTCCGAACGATTGTTCTAAAAAAAATTTTTTTGATTATTTACACACATTATATAAACATATTATGTTATATACACAATACACTACAGTTTTTTTTTTCAATTTCATCAGCGCAAGGACAGTAAAAATGGGCATGCAAACCTAGATACATGCAATGATAAGTAGGTACCTAAGTCTTAATTCTCCTCTCTACTCCAAATACATATTTGGGTGTCCCAAACGTAGGAAAAGAGTAAAATGACAAACAGTCCGGAACTATTAACCAACAACTAGCGCGTGAATATCATCACACGTAGAATATGAAAAAAAACGTTCAAAAACACACATCAAAATTAATATTAAAACATGATTGAATTAAATATCTTGAATAATTTGAATTTTTGGAAATATCAAACCTTGTCATACAATAAATGTGAAAACTCATGAAACCGTATTATCGATGTACAACTAAGTGCACATATTATGTTAACTGCACTGATAGGCTGATAGCGCTGGACGGTCGCACTACCTCGCGTTGTGTTCATGTTGAGATGACTTTTTTATCTCCCTTCCTATGCTGATAGCCTTGAGAGGCTATTTGAGCTTCGCCCTAACATGTAGGTGAGCTCACGGGGCTCAAACCGGAGTGTTGCTAACACTGGCCCTGGCACTGAGAAGTTCCGGCGAGAAACTCAGTGGACTGTGTCTATGGGAAAGATGACATTGATACCAACTAGTGACAAGTCAGCTTGCGACTCGTCTCTACAAACGTACTCGATTTCCACGACTAGTTATAGATAGCTATTGTGGGTCGGCGGGTGAAGAAGTTTAACAGGACCACTAAATATGAATAAGGGAATGCAGTGCGTAGTAAGACGATTAATTAATGAAACGATGTTGTAGATATAGACCAGTCCGTGCTGCGTTTTTTAGCGAAAAAATCAGGCTGACGTCACAAATGTGTGGAGCTATAAAAATAATGATATCGCCAATAAACGCTGCAGGAGGCCGCGCGCAGATGCTAAGCTCTATGCTATTTACGGACGACGTTTGAAACCTATCATTTCTATTATGTGAATCTATGTGTATGTATACTTCATTGTGCGACTGCAAATAGTGAGAATGATATTTAAACAAAGTTTATCAACATGAGTCTGAGAGAAATTACTGTACCTGTGTCAGTACATACCCCGTTTGAGAAACAAAAGACTTGGAAATGTGAGTATGAGCTCAAATTACCATTTTTTTAGTCTCTTGAAATAACTACATTAACCGATGACTTATTTTTTAGCCATCTCAAATATAATGAAATCTAAATTACCAAAAGTCACTCGCGATGCGACCAACATAAGTTGTTGGTATATGTTGATAACTAAGCGTTATGACGTCATCGTAAATGATAACCGAGAAATCGGACACTGAAACAGGAGCGATGTCTCACGCCTTCGACTACTCACAGTACACGCGAGGTGGCGTTTCACTTGATTGGCGCCGCGAATACGTGTTATACGAACGCAGAATAACCCGTTGGTACATAGTCACCTGCACAATTCATGACAACGCCAGGGGGCTGCTAAGCCTTTTTTTTATTGCTTAAATGGGTGGACGAGTTCACAGCCCACCTGTTGTTAAGTGGTTACTGGAGCCCATGGACATCTACAACGTAAATGCGCCACCCACCTTGAGATATAAGTTCTAAGATCTACCCTTCAAATCGAAACGCATTACTGCTTCACGGCAGAAATAGGCGGAGCGGTGGTACTTACCCGCGCGGACTTACAAGAGGTCCTACCACCAGTAAGCCTACTTCCTTATTGTCATTTTAGATGGCAGTACGTCTCCATATAACTTGGAATGCAAACAGCTGGAACGGGTCGTGGTTGAGTTACAACATGGCAGCCCACGCGCGGTGTGCGCTCATCGTCATCGCGCTCGGCGTGTCCTGGGTTACGCTTTCAATGTCTCACCTCGGACTACTCAAGGTTCCAAACGTTTTTTACTAAAATCAATTCAATGGAGATGTGGGCAGCGCAAGAGTTCGACCTCGCTAGAAGGTAAGCAGAGTCAGAATGTTTTGAATCACCAACGGCCCATTGTATTGCTGGCATTATAAAAAACAGTAGATGAGTTCGAGTATTTAAGACTGTTAGACTAATATAATATATGAATCCTTCAGAGTATCGAATGAGCTGATTATATACACACGTTGTTTTATTGATGAGTGTCTATTTATCGTTGTCAAGTATTAACGCGGTAAATGTTCAATAGTTTTAACGAGTTGGGTGAGTATCGTTCAACCAGACCAAATTAATGTTCCACACATGGAGAGCGATTTAAACAGAGCGCCGTAAAAATGTTTCCCGGAAATTAGGTTGATACGCGCGCGCTGCGCTGAGGAAACTGTAGAAATGCGAACGGAATTGTTGCAAGATGCAATGTATAAATATACTGGGTTGAATCACTTTAATTTTGTAGGCGCACGGAAGGGCTTTTAGCAGAAGTCAGACCAAACTAAAAAAAGTTTTCGATCGTACATCTTTACAGGTGTGCCAGCAGAGTTCCACACTGCAGTCGCCAATTCGAATCTGGTCCCATTAGTCCAATTACGTAATCGTAATAGTGCATTAGCGTCTGGACGAGAGAGCTGCATGTTTTTGGTAAGAGCACGGAGCTGCGCGCGCGTACTGTGACAGCGGAATGTGCGACGAACGGATTTCTCCGCGGCTGATGCAGCGCCACTTTACACAACGCGTCACTGAAACCGGCGCCGCGGCGTGCGGCCACTGCAGGACAGGGACAGTTCGTTAGACTCGACAATCAGATATGTTTTCAACAAACAGCAAGTGTCATACTTTCAGAGCGTTCTGAACGGTTTAGAACATTTTATTTCAACTAATTATGACGTCCGTCTTTAGATAATAACTAGCTGTACCCGTCCGATTCGCTGGGCATTTAAAATTAATACTATTATTTCTCACCCCCGCAAAGATTCTCATCATTAACGCCCCCGCAACTGGTGTAGCGAGTCCAACACTCATATAAATATTAGCCTATCCATTAAGTACATGTATTTTCTACATGGATACCAAGTTTCAAATCAATCGGATGCATGGTTCAGTAGTTATAACGGAACATCCGTAAAAACCACTGCAGATTTATATATTAGTATAGAATAAATATAGATTGATTTCCATATAATTACGATGATATTCCCACATATTCAGCGACAAGTACAAGATCCAAGCACACGTTAGCAGTAAGCTTTATTGAAGACGTCTAAAGTAGTTGGCTCCGTCTTACCTTCCTACCTGACCTTCGCTACGTGAATACAATTTTTCACGGCTTCCATTACCGTTCACTTCCTTACTATTAGCATTTACAGGTAAACTGCAATACTGAGATCAACCACGTCCGCGTAAATAGTAATACTGTTTTGAGGTGACTGATGTCAATGTTTTTGTCAAATTCTTAAAATGTAATCTTCCTTCTGCGGTGGTCGTGTTAAGATAGTAAGTTATTTACTAGGGACGAAAATTATGTCTATCGGTATTTTTCTCTTTTCATTTCACATTTAACAATTTAGATTAAAAGCATATTATTAGAAGGATGTAATTAACCAAACAATTACCTAAGCTTCGCCGTGAAAAATAGCAATTAGTTCTTAGTTCTTTCTTTACCCTATTTATGTAGTTCTCGGAAAATTAAGATTTTTAGTTTAGCTCAATCGTGTGGGCCGTGTGTATCAGTACGCTTAGCACCTGGTCTCACGACAGAACATGCATTTTTCGGATTATAAACTTAATTTATGTGCTTATTTTTTATGATTATCTAATTTATTATTTATTTATTTTAATTTATGTTTCTGCCAACATCGTAATATGAAACAAGATGGTACTGTCTAAAAACGATTAAATATAATATTTAAGACTAAATATTTTGTGTATTGTGCGGATGTTAAGATATTATTAAAATTTGAAAACTTTTCTGTTCTGTTCTACCCCAGTGCCTCGGTCTTACATACTTATATAATGCGTATAAATTTTATATTTTGTTTCAAAATAGAAAAGGTGTGATCAAACTATGACTACGTTTGTAATAGTAGTGACACAGAGGGTTGTTAAGTTTTTTTTTTAATTGCTTAGATGGGTGGACGATCTCACAGCCCACCTGGTGTTAAGTGGTTACTGGAGCCCATAGACATCTACAACGTAAATACGTCACCCACTTTGAGATATAAGTTCTATGGTCTCAAGTATAGTTACGACGGCTGCCCCACCTTTCAAACCGAAACGCATTACTGCTTCACGGCTGAAATAGGCAGGGTGATGGTACCTGTCCGTGCGGACTCACATGAGGTCCTACCACCAGTAATTACGCAAATTATAATTTTGCGGGTTTCATTTTTACTACACGATGTTATTCCTTCACCGTGGAAGTCAATCGTGAACACTTGTTGAGTACGTATTTCATTAGAAAAATTGGTACCCGCCTGGGTTTCGAACACCGGTGCATCACTCAACACGAATGTACAGGACGTCTTATCCTTTAGGCCACGACGACGACAAGTACGAATCTATAGTCTATAACGATAGGTTTGAAGAACTGAACGGCTTTCAAATGGAATTATTGAACGATTACAATGTTTTAATGTCGTAGAGAGTTTGTTTAAGAAGCGAAGGCGGGAGGGTGGTACAACTCACCATCTCGTCGTATATGGTCTGCGTGTCGGCCGAGCTGTCGTAGGCGGCGTCGTAAGTGAACAGCTTGTCCTGGCCCTTCGGGTTGTACACCTGGACTGCCCCGCGCTCCGGCCATACTTTCACCACCTACATTCAAGTCATTATATTAACTATTACTCGAGAATTATTGTAAGATCCACATCCGTTGATATTAGTAACTACGGTTCAAGCATTATATTCCTACACTTAGCTGTAAAAGTTGCTGCCAATTAGAATTAGTTTCGTTCCATTGGGTAACGTTTTAATTTTATCATTAATACCTACCATTTTGTGTTGCGCTGTCTGATTTTGTCCTCACTAAGTAGTAACCCAAAGGAAAAAAACTTATTCATAATTATTATAAGCTTATTAAAGTATTTACCTGAACACAAAGCACCGTGTTAATTAACAATTAATCTACAAAAAATACTACTAATAATGCCGCCGCCAGTAATATCTAAATTTTAATAATTAGTTAATCGATAACTTACATTTAATACTATAATATAACGGATCGACTGGTTAATTTACCCGCAAGGGATACATAAATAAGACAGCGATGTTAACTCTCATTCTTATAATAATGTTAGTACTCGTATTATTTAAGTCTCCGTTAACAATTACTAAAACTTACAAATCTTATATTTATATAGATATTACCTAGTAAGAAAAGAGTGAGCGAAGAAATGGTATATGATAGAGGAGTATGGAAGGAGAAAACATGTTGCGCCGACCCCAGGTGACCGGGAGAAGGGCAGGATAATGATGAATGATGATGATATTACTTATGTAGGTAGGTATGTTAGACTATTGATATAAATACTTATTTTGTTGATGATATTGTGTCTACGACTTTGTACAGTTTGAAAAGAGCTGTAGCCGCGGCGGCGTGTCTCTGGTGTCCCTTGCAGTGCGACAGTGTCGATGTCCAGCACCGACCACGTGGACGACACAATATCCGATACTTGTCTTTTATTTAAAGAGAAAATAATTATTGTAACTGACCGCTTCCTCCTCGTGAACGCAAAAGGCGGCAGCTACATACAATTCACATTCTGAGTAATAAAAACATTTACATCGTGATATAAATATTTCATTGTTAAAATAAATCTGTTCTGTCTTTGACCTTAGAGCATGTATTACTTTAAGTATATAAGTATGGTATAAAGAGAATCTACTAATAAAACCGACGAGACAGTAAACATAGTGAAAATTACTAATAAAATCAGTTGTTATTATTTTATTTCATTTCTACCGCATTTCAGTGAAAGTCAACAAATAAGTTTACGTGGTCCTCTCATTTTTTTTTGTCATTATTATAAGAAGAGATTATATTTCATACATAGAACATCTGCTGATATACAATTGTCCAGTCATTTTCTTTTAGATCGCTCACATTCAAAGCTTTACTATTTATAAAAACAAAAGTTGAGTGATGCGTTAGGAATCAAAGAGATTCCCAAAAAACGAATGACGTTCAAGGTGAAATAATAAAGCCCTGGTGATCTATGTATACGCGCGGGTGACGCGTCCCGTGACGTCCCGGCTACTGCTCGAGAATTCGCTTTTATTCATTTTGGCAAAAGTTCAATCTTTCAATCTTCAACTTTTTTAAATTTATGGCACTCGTTTTGTAATTATATAAAACAAAAACTCTTGCAAATTACGTGAATTCCACTAAGACACAAGAGTACACCTACCCACTATGGTAATGTCATTATTTTCTGCTTTACACATTAGTTTAACGCTATCATAATTATATTAAGCTAGCTGTCCTTGAGCTGTTAGGTCTGCTTGAGAGACGCTCCGGCAGTGTTGGCAGCAACTCCGCCTCCTAGTTGTGCTCCAGAGCTGCCAACACGACCTAATAGACCTAATTAACTAAACTATTTCGTCAGTGACTACGAAAAATGTCAAGTATTAGAAATGCGGATAGTAATATAACAACAATAAAAATAGTTTTAATGAAAACTGATGAGAATGCTGACTAAACGCGAATATACAAGAACTATATTAGGTACTAAATGTATTCACATATGAACTACCTAGTTATTAGAATATTCGCTCACGTCAACGTCAAACATTCATTAATTATCATAATACGAGTACCTACACATTGGATAATTCATTATAATAAGTACGTCCTAAGTTGTCGTTAGCGCTTATTCATTCACTGACACGATAATAGCAAAAAGAAGACAGGTGCTAATTCCTGTGATTCCCGGTACGAGCACATTGAAATATATTTTACACGGTGTATGCACGGTGAGCTATTTAACCTAATTAAAAATCATCCGGCCTGCAAGTGTTTTTTTTTCTCTACCTATTCGCTGGTAGTCTAGAGGCTATTCCAAATACGCCCGGACTGGTAGGTCGCCCACGGGCTCAAGCTGTCATGCTGCGAATTGCCCTAGTACATACGGTGTTTCGCAGAATCTACCACCGGATTGGAATCGCAACCCATTGAAAAGATCCGACGAGAAATTCTGCGGGCTCACCGGTCCTTGTGAAACTGGAAAGGCCTTCGGGCGCCAATTCCAAAAAAAACTCACGAAAAATGAACATACGATAAAGTATTTCTAAAGATTAGTATCATTTTTCGTGTGTGCTATCAGCGTCAGTGAATGAAATACGTCAGTGCTTCCATAATACTTTTAAATTTTCTTCGTCGCACAAACTTGACCACCACCTCATTAAAAGTTAAATGTCAAAGCGTCCTTAACCTACGATCGATAGATTAACCGTTCACCGTGTACTTGAAATACTGACACTGAAATAATGGTCTTCTTTCCCCACGGGGGGCGGTCAACAGGTATCAATTTTTCTGATGAAACACGTGCTCAACAAATGTTCACGATTGACTACCACGGTGAAGGAATAACATCGCGTAATAAAAATTAAGCCCGCAAAATTATATTTTGCGTAATTACTGGTGGTAGGACCTCTTGTAAGTCTGCACGGGTAAGTACCACCACCCTGCTTATTTCTGCCGTGAAGCAGTAATGCGTTTCGGTTTGAAGGGAGGTTGATGTCTATGGGCTCTGGTGACCACGTAACACCAGGCCGTGAGTCTGTCCACCCATATTACCAACTAAAAAAATTGTCATAAGAATAGTAAACTCTCTATTTTCACCGTTTATTTGGAAGTTTGAGGACACTCTAGTAAAGACTCCTTCTCTATATTTTGTGTTCGTCTAAATGTGAACATAGCTACTCAAGGTATTACCCTTCCAGGAGCTCCTCTAGACTTGTTACTAAAAGGATCATAATTATGTATATGAGTTTTAAATACATCTATTGGGCAGCTTCTTATTTCGTATAAATTTGGGAAAGACTGTAGAAGAATCCAGCAAATTTCATGCGTAAAACAGATTCCATTTTTTTAAGTTATCCGTTATTTTAATGAACAGTATTCCAAGTTTTATGACAGTAATAATGTTTTAAATGCACATCGTTGTCTTAGAGGTACAAATATTTGAGCCATATCAAGGTTACGAGAAAACGTATTTCTGTGTTGAATTAGATTTAAGTTTAGATTTGGTTGGTGGTTATAAAATGCCAGGAAATAGGTTTTAAATTCTTGTTAATTTAAATATGGCTCAAATCTGCGGTCAAGACGACGATCTGTCTAAAGTCCGTTCCACCGAGTTAGTGCCCAACGACCACCGCGTGTCCAATAGGAGCAGGTGTGGTAACCTGTACTGGTCCTTGGAACTTTTTGTTGTCCACGGGGTTCCTGGAGGAGAGACGCTCGTACCATTTCTGTTCTTGACGTGATTTCTTAACCTATAGATTATTAAGAGATATTAGAGAGGAAGAAGGTGCACTTACTGGATAGGTTGTACTTACTAAATGTATTATAGTTATTGCTAAAAAAATAACAACTAACTTTATTATATTAAACCCAAGTTTCACGATTTTGAAATGTACATTCGTAAATAAAATTAGAAGATTATATTTCCATTTTTGGCTTTATTTGTTGCGTGGCGTACGAAATAGTTAGCTCATTGCGTTACAGATGATATTTCAGAGAAACTGTCCGCGCAATAGCACTACATGTCCAATTCTGAACGAATGATCTCGCTTGATAGGCAAGCTTCAGACCCCAGCGCCATCTGCGCAACATTATACCTTATATAACATTATACCTATTTCACCTATTTGAATACGGACATTTAAATAGTATGCCCCTTTTTAGTTTGATAAAAACTCAATTTTAATTTTACGAATTCACATTATGCTAATTTGGTTTTCTTATGAATGAAGTTTAGGTGAGATCAGTACAGTTTTGGTTTCCATAAATGAAATAATTCAACGATAAAATATTCCTAGCTATTAAATTGATGAATTACCGTCATAGAAGGCAGGCAGGCTGACAAGCCGATTTTATACTCAACCGAAATAAACACAAGTGTACGCATGCAAGTGTAATAAAGATACAAGAATTAGGAGTGGATAATAATTGAATTTATTACATTCAAATTGCATCATTAGACACACATCATATTGCATAATTAGGTACAAGACAAAATTATTGAGAACGCGTTAAGCTGAGATATGGAAGTGTTGACAATATCTTCTTGTACTCAGTCACTCGTATTCCATCTATGCATATTGAATATTGTCGTACATCTGCCGACCTTCTGCTTTGAAGATTTTCCAACGTGACTGGTTCAAAGCGGTCTATATCCTTGTGGTTTCCACGGTCTTAATTAGACCGGTTGTTAGGAATCAAAATCTTAGGAAACCGCCTGGAAATAATTTTCTTGTAATTGAAGATTGAACAATACACGGAAAAGTTTAACTCATAGGACAAAAAAAATTGCAAACATAATGTTACATTATCTCAAGATCTTATGTCGGTTGGTATCACGCATTACAACAAAGCAGAGGTCGTTTAAGATTTACATAACAATGGGTATTAAAAAAAAAACAACATTTTTGTGATTCGAACGTCGCTTTAAGAGAACTATCGTGATAAGAGACCGACATAATGGACATTGACAATGAATTTGTCAAGGTATACCTACTGTACACGGAAATAGTGTAAGTAGTAAGAACAAATTTATAAACAAGGGCCATAATATTATGAACGGATGCACGAAGACGTCTACTAATCAATTTTTATTGTTTTCTTCATAGATTACACTTATCTATATCACATACCTACGTGTACTATGAAAACTATTTTTATAAACATCAAAATAATTTTATTTTATGGAACGTTTTTCGGACACCGGAAGCATTAGGTAGTACGTTCAAGACCCTGAAACATCATGATTGAGAGGGACTAGGCATTAGACTACGAGCATCTAATTGTGCAGTAACGTATATTTGTACCTATATGAAATAAGCCAAACCTTGGAAGTTAAGTGTAGTGTGGAAGGAAATAGTACAGATTCTGTTAACGATGCTTCACGGATGGTTCCGTACACGAACTACACGCACCGCTTTCAGACGTTATCGAGGACGGTCGCACGAGCGATGCAGCGACCGAGGTGGGCGCAACGGCGCGTAACAACCCTACAGGTTCGATCCAACGTCGAGCCCTCTTCACTTAAAAAAAATTTTTTTTTTTTATGAATGAGGGATTATTGGTGGCCCAAATGCCTTTCTAGTTTCACCAGGACAAGTGGGCGAGCAAAGGCTCAGCCAGGAGGGGGGGTTTTGCTAACAGCTGCCCGAGCGCCTCCAAAGGGGACCTAACAACTGAAGAGCAACTGCTTCGCGAATGAATCTACTACCGGATCGGAATCGCGACCCGCTGAGAAGATCCAGCGAGAAACTCAGTGGGCTGATGCATGGGTTAGGTTGCGAGCAGGGTTACCGGGGTCCGTAAACCTGCTCCTAGCGTTAGAACTGAAGGCGTCTAATGCAAGAGTTAATGGACCTGATAGATCCATAAGGACGTGTCTAGGGTGTCGATGGTGACTGGCGCCTGCGTGATCAGGATTCGGGGTGTAGTCAGCGGCGGCATAGTTATGTTTCATCATAACATTANGGGCTGATGCATGGGTTAGGTTGCGAGCAGGGTTACCGGGGTCCGTAAACCTGCTCCTAGCGTTAGAACTGAAGGCGTCTAATGCAAGAGTTAATGGACCTGATAGATCCATAAGGACGTGTCTAGGGTGTCGATGGTGACTGGCGCCTGCGTGATCAGGATTCGGGGTGTAGTCAGCGGCGGCATAGTTATGTTTCATCATAACATTAGGCAAGATATCCAACATTACATTTTTCTACTTCAGTCTATTCATATTTTTCAAAACATATCATTTGAATGTCATGAAACTTGGTGCAGTTATTATCACTGCGGCAGCAGGACCTGTGAGTACCTACAATAAAAAGCGATGTTTTTCATATAATCACATCAAATAAAAAATTTACATTCACAAATTTTTTCACGCTAAATTAACATTCAATGCATTTAGTGAATATAACAGGCGAGCTAGATAATATATTAGATGCCGCATTATGTTCATTAGCTTGAGTTGGTTTAGTAATATTCCTTATATGACAGCAAACCGGAATCCTTGGAGACATCACGTATGACCTAACGACTAAAAACGACTTTTGCTGTCGATGTTATTACTACAAAACTTTAAAAATAAATTCAAACCAACTAAATGACATCAAGTCTATTTTTTGTTTTTCTGTTAGCGTTTTTTATGTCTAGATTGGCAATTCAACGCACACTCACCTTACGCTAGGGTTAGACACCACCAAGTGTATTTAGATATATCGATATATAGGGTCGTATCGGGTCATAAAGGGTTAAAACGATAATATTGGAATAATGGATCAGAGTCTGAGTGAAGTCACAGTAGTCTCTTTTTAAATACATATATTCTTAATTGAACCTTTTAATCTCTCATTTGCGCAAGTCCCTTGCAGAGAGTAAACAAGTAATCATTGCACAATAAGTAAGATCGTTAATCTCGCACTCTTCAAGGTCGATTTCCATCCCGAACTCTGTAACCGCAAGTTTCACCTTCACAAAAAGAACACAAATACGAGTCTAATTCCTCCGGTGGGGGAGAAAAACTCTTGGCAAGACTTGATTCAGCACAAGCTGTGTGCATACCGTCTTCTCGTCTAGTTTTTATTGCAAACCATTCATTCCGTCCGAGATGACACATTCTTCGCGTTTTTGCCGGCGCAGCGCGACGATCTCCTTATTGTGCCACGTTTCTGTTGTTTCAGATAAAAATCTTATCGCATAATTCATTTTAATGTGCGTTCGCGTAATGCTCAGGTTTAATCTTAGTTCGAGTTCCATTCGACGAAGAAAGTCGACATATTCATCATTCGTATCATTGAGCAGAACAAATTCAGTAAAATAATCTTTGATTTCTGCCAACGTGTGTATTGAACGGATCTTAATGATAACAAGATCCAGACCAAGATACCTATTTTACAAAACAGATAGACGGCGTTGTTCATGTTCTAAGGTTGTGTAAAAACGTTCTACGACTGATCATAAATAAATACATCAAGCTATTCGTTGGGAGCAGAAGGCCACGTGTCAGAAGATCTATGCCTTAATATGGGATCTAGTCTCAAAGTCTGCGCGGGTCAAGAATCATTGCTCTAGATTGAGTCTAGATTTATTGTTCACGTCAATATACTACTTAGTCTAGTCTATCGAACAGTAGACTTACTGTCTACTGTTCGATAGACTCTATTCTGTACGATACTCTCCAAAAAATTCGAATGATTACACATATATAGTCTATTCATTGCAGTTTTTTTTTCTTACATTATAACAATCAAGGTCATTCAATTGGCCATCTCTAAATTTAGCCTTTATTTTGTTGTGTTAAAGGTTTTTTATTGATATCATTGAGCAATTACCTACAGACTCCAAATCGTATCTAAGTTACACAGAGACAATTTATAGACCGGTCATATTAATTGGCTTACAACAATTATATTATATTATACGTGCGGTCACGAGCACGATACTATGACGCGTGCTTCTTGTCACTCGACACTGACCTGACGGGTTTAGGACTTTTCTTACGACAGACTATTCTTTGTAACCAGCCTGGAACGAAATAATCAGTACTCGGGTTTCAATTTCAGAAACAAGTCACGCTTACAATTTTAAAGTTGCTTTTATTTATTTGCTGTAGTGGGTGGGAAACGGGCTGGGATGGGTGGGATGGCTGGGATGGGTGGGATTCCGTGATGTAACAGAATTACAATGCACCCTCTACATGCCATTAAATGACAATAAAAAAGCTTTTACCTAATTTTCTTTTTTTTATTGCTTAGATGGGTGGACAAGCTCACAGCCCACCTGTTGTTAAGTGGTTACTGGAGCCCATATGCATCTACGGCGTAAATGCGCCACCCACCTTGAGATGAGTTTTAAGGTCTGAGTATAGTTACAACGGCTGACCCACCCTTCAAATCGAAACGCATTACTGCTTCACGGCAGAAATAGGCAGGGTGGTGGTACCTGCCCGTGCGGACTCACAAGAGGTCCTACCTCCAGTAAAATCCTAAAAACCTACATCTGCATAAAGGAAAGTCGTAACAAAATAATAAGTGTTACGCATTTCGAAGACGGGGGCCCGTATTCCAAGCCTACGCTCTACAGACCCACCCAATTTCTTCTCATTTTACTTATTCTGACCCATACTTTTATTTTCTTTCAGATTAACCAATCGAATTGGAGTGGATAATAAAACTGTAAACTGTAGACAAGATTATTTTTTCTCAGATGAGATCACAATGTAAACAATAATATCTGAACAATAATGATTCATTCTTAAGAAAACAAAACCAGCTCCTATTCATTTTTGATCAACACATTTCTATAGTTGTATATGTATTTAATCTAATAATTGATCCATTCAATAAATTACATAGATCAAAACTACATTCTTAGTTTTTATTTCTTAGTTTTTTTTTAAACATATTTAATACCTTTTGAAGCATTTGTAAACAAAAAAATTTTTTTGAGACTGTATACATAATTAGACTGAATTAATTTTGTTGAGCAATGAACCCTTAAGTGCATCTTGTAAAAATAAGTACAATGAGACATGATCACTGTTATGAGTAAGGCTGAATTATTTTTAACTTCAAACACTCATGTGCACTAGCAGTTTTTGTTTGAATGAAGAATATTTTTTATATCTGCATTTTACTTTACTAACACCTGTTATTTGATTTTATTTCAGTGGATTATCTAAAATTTTTGATGATGATTTGATGACAATTTTGATACTAAATATTTATTTAATGACAGACAAATAAATCCATTCAATCCAATCCAAAGTTTAATTTCTAGCAAACCTTAAAAATAACAATTAATTACATATTCTTATAATTTATTTTAATTAAAATTTATTCAGTATTTCCTTATCCTAACCACATTAATATTTATCTACTTATTATTGAATAAAATTATTCATATCTACAATGCACGTTGTTAAGATGTGAGTATTGCATAAATCATCTCATAGGTTGGCATTGGGTTTCAATTAATAAACAAAGATAATTATTCAACAATCCCATTATTTAATTTAATTTATTTATTTATGTCTTCTTTCCATTTAGAAATAAAGATGTTTAACATTTATTAATAAAAAATATTAGTGGGTATTTTATTAATTTGTAAAAAATAAATTTATAAAAGAGTGAAATAACTTCACAATATTGTTTTATAATGTTGCTTGCAGTCAGTCTGCTGCTATGGAAACAATTTTTTTTTCACAACAAAACATGATTTAGCTAAATCTGATATGGTAATTCCTTACCTTACATTTAAATAGCTAAGACATAGAATACATTCTAAATCTGCAAAAGGTAGTTGATTAACATAATAATATGGTTAATGATTTATTAGGACTCATACATAGACCGTGGCAGTCAGCTGTTAACTAATTTATGAATGAGTTCCATTGTGTAATTGTTTAAAGATTAACCATCCAAGGCATCGATATTCGGAGTATTTAGGCCCACGCGTCTGTTGTCGCATTATGAGCACCGAATTCCTCTAACAATGTTGCATATTCATGAACATTTTCAATCACTACAAGGATCGATGTGGCGTTCGCAAGACTCATAATCTCATGCCTCAACGTGTAACAAAAAAAAACGCAATTGAATTATTTTTCGAACGCTGATCGAACAACACAAGTTGACGCAACGATTCTACGCACCCTGACACAAACATTACGCGAATCGGGAAACTCACCTCGTCGTAGCCTTCCTTTTTTTCACGTTCAGAGAGAGGTCTGCATCGTACTACCACTTTCACACATTCGTTAAGTGCAGTTCTTGGCCGGGCAGACTTCTCCATCTTCTAACACCCTCGTCTCGTTTATTTACTCCTCCTGACACTAAGTCACCGATATCGATCCATTCGGGGACTCCTTGTCGGCATCACCCGTTCAACTTGACGCGCACGAATATGTAACCAAAATTTTAATAAACACAGCAGTTTATCAAAAATTGTATTAAGAGATCTAAATGTTTACACGCCACAAATTAATAAAATCGTAAATTATTAATTGCACGCGGATTAAATCCGACCGCAACGGACTGACATTTCTTTTCTACTGAATTTGATTTCATTTTGTTTTCCCGCTTAGCATTGCCATTGGTGGATACATATATTTTGAATATTATTAGTGATGCTCGCAGGATTTTTTTTTCCATAAATTACGATATGGAATTTATTTCAACGGAATAGAGCTTATATTAGCTATTTTTGTAAGGCCTTAAAGACTATAATTCCTGAACAGTATTGTACAGAATGCTGTCAAAAAACGACAACTTTTTTTTTTTAAAAGCACTGGCTTTGCTAATTGATCAGCCAAGTTAGGAATAATTAATTAAGTTTGGTGAAAATATTAAATTATCCTTGGATTTGATTTGATTTGAAGCAATTGGACTAAAAAGGGTTTTAAATAAATTTGAATATAATTTGATCAACTATTTGTATTTTCTATCACATTTCATTCATTGACAATTCATTTGTCAAATGTCTACTTTAGATTTTTTTGTAGGTACCGTATGTACCTACATACCGTACCATATTGATGTAAATAAACACAAACTAATGATTTGATAATAGTTATTAGTGATATTTTATTAATTACGTGGCAATAAAAACTTATTATGTCTATCGTCTTTTAAAATTCAAAACATGTCTATAAATCTCTCTATATGCTTAAAACGTGCAAGTAAAATATATCACGAAGGGGTGGGTTTCCAAAATAACATGTTCTCTATTTAAGCATCATACCTAATATGTAATATTTTTGAAAAAAATCACGGATTTTATATAAAAACAAATTCTAAATTACAAATTCGTTGTAAACCTTGTGATTTAGGAAATAATCGCTGGCGTGGTGGTGGTGGAGAGCAGTAGCGATGTGCGACATGAGGGCCTTTCACTCACTATGGAGGGATGTGTCAACTTGCAGCTCAGCACCAAGAATGTGGGCATATTTGAAGCTTTTTCTAATAGCATTAAGGTAATAAGATAACTAACTAGTAGTAATACTAATTAAGAAATAAAAATCTATATAAATAAACTGAAAATTTTAAACTAAAGATAATCGTTTTTTGCAGCCAATAAATTTAATAAATGTTACAGTTGAGCTAGCTCTCCCAGGTAAGATCCCTGTAGGCATCACAGAGATTCCATTTGAGATGCCACTGCGGGCCCGTCAGGCTGTATCTCCAGGATATCCTGGTCTACTGGAGACTTACCATGGAGTGTTTGTTAATATAATGTACACACTAAAGTGTAATATGAAGAGATCATTTCTCAATAAGCCACTGTTCACCACTTGCCAGTTCTTTGTACAGTATAGACATGTGAGTTATGTTTTTATATTTCTATNAGAGATTCCATTTGAGATGCCACTGCGGGCCCGTCAGGCTGTATCTCCAGGATATCCTGGTCTACTGGAGACTTACCATGGAGTGTTTGTTAATATAATGTACACACTAAAGTGTAATATGAAGAGATCATTTCTCAATAAGCCACTGTTCACCACTTGCCAGTTCTTTGTACAGTATAGACATGTGAGTTATGTTTTTATATTTCTATTAGAGTTTATATGAATTTTTTAGAGAAAGTGCATCAGGTGTTGACTTAGTAACAAAACATTTTGTAAGCATGTGAATGAAATTTAATATAATTCAGTCATCCCTAATAACACACTACTCTTATAACATAATTTCATGGCCCTTGTACAGGGAGTCCAAGTGAGGGAGGGGCGTGAGAAATCAAAAATATTATTGACTAATATTTAAAAACGTTTATTATTATGAAAGATAAATAAATGTAAAAATATTTCGCTTTTTAAATATTATTGCACTTTTTCTATCTAGACTGGGAGGCCTGTTTATGCTCCCTCTCGAGAAATTATCTTATTTAGGAACACTTCTATCACAATCACAATTTGTTGGTCAGATGTATGGCTAGTGGTACCATCTTGTTGGAACTAAGTTCTCGAATTGTAACAGTTAAATTGTTGCAATTGTGGGATCAAAAAACTTTTGACAGTCAATGCGGTGAAATCTCTAACTGTTTGTAAATGACTTCTGTTTGGAATCTGAACCAATATTCTCAAACATTTCTATCCATCTTCTGATTGTGTTCTCACTTGGAGCACTGCGTTCAATATTCTGCTCGAAATAAACACTGAGCAGTAACTAGAAAATTATTGTTTTGATAATATGTGCGCACGCAAAAAGCGCGATGCGGTCCCTATCCATTGCTACTTAATCTCCAAGTAGTTGTCCGCATCTCAACGCACTCCCTGCGCTTAAACACCTCAGCATCGCTAGATCATCCTCTCCCCCATTTCGGTTGGACACCCTGTATAATGTTAGTTGTTTTTTATTATTATTATTATTTTATTGCATAGACATAGCCCATCATATTTCATAGTATCTCAACATTAATGGAACCACTCGCCATATTTCAATCCATGTCTTAATTATATAGTAATAAAGCACATAATTTATATTTGAAATATATTCTTAATAATTTTAAGTGATTGTCAAAGTTTTTGATAGAAGTGTATGAATGTTTGTACATAGCAAGAACGCCCAGTACAGAAGGGTGTGCGGTGCGAGATGTCCGGTGCGTCGGTGCGCGCTGCGGGCACAGTGCCGCACTTCTCTGTGTTCGCAGATCTCACCTCCACCGTCTGCGCGTTGGATGCACCTGTCACTGGAAAGGCAAGTCGCTGCGATATCTGTGTAGGTTAACACGTGGACTGTGATCATCACACTTTGACCATAATAAGCTACGATCAATAATTGTTGATCGAAGATAATAAGATAGATAGCAAAGGATAAAGTCATGTGTTTTCTAGACTGGAATGCTAATCAACACTCTCTTAGTTACTATTTAGCTTCAAATAAAATAACATAAAAGTATCAATGGTCCAGCTTTTAATTAGACCTATCGTTTTATGATGAAATCTTTATATCATACATTTACAAATATTACATACCTATTATATTAGTTATTAAAGCGTATTAAAAATGATAGTGGAAAGAGGCAATAATAATACCCCGGAGATCACCAAGATTGCAAATTGTAAGGTCATTTCATCTCATACCTACCTAGGTTCCATTTGACTCCATACAGACGAGGGCTGTTCGGATTGTCGATAATCCCATTCTCACGGATCGTTTGGAACCTCTGGGTCTGCGGAAGGACTTCGGTTCCCTCTGTATTTTATACAATATCTTCCATGGGGAGTGCTCTAACGAATTGTTTGAGATGATCCCCACATCTTCTTATCATCGCTCCTCCCGCCATCGAAGCAGAGTTCATCCATATTATCTGGAACCGCTGCGTTTATCGACAGTGCGTTTCTAGAGGTCTTTTTTGCCACATAACATCCGGCTATGGAATGAGCTCCCTTCCACTGTGTTTGGAGCGCTTTGACATATCCTTCTTCAAACGAGGCTTGTGTAGAGTATTAAGCGGTAGGCAGCGGATTGGCTCTGCCCCTGGCATTGCTGAAGTCCATGGGCGACGGTAATCACTCACCATCAGGTGGGCCGTATGCTCGTCTGCCTACAAGGGCAATAAAAAGAAAATAACATGTGTGCAATTCACACGTGTTAGAAGTCAAACCTTCAAAAATTAAAATACAATGATCCTAAATGTCTTAAGTATATTATTAGTAAAATTTTGTCATTAGTAAATAATTGTAAAACACCTTTTATAGTATGAGGTAGCGCCCTCTGTGAATTGATATTTTAACTTCACGTATATCCTAAATTAAAATTCACTACAAGAGATTTCATACACACGTTAGTATTAAAACATCTCACAGATGGCGCTGTATTGAAAATAAAATACTTTATACGTATGTTTTAATTAAAGTATGTAGGAACTGAGCATTCTGTCTCACTTTTTCTCTCGATCTTTCTCACTTCCTTGCTCCCTACTCTCACTCCATGGCTAGTTGCTTCATGCTACGTTCGCCCTGTCTTACTCTCTCTCTCAATCGGTCTCGATCGCTCTCTCTCGCTTTTTCGATACTTCCGTTGCATACCTGCGTGACGTTACATCTGTAAATTTTTTACCCTCATGGGCCTAAAGAAGTTTCACTTCAAAAAAACCTAGTGACTAACAGTAGTGGTTACTAGGATGAAATTCAACGCCGCATTATCATAACGCCATTGGATATGGACAGACTCTCAAAAATATGGAAAGACCGCAATATCACCGAGACCACTAAAGTCCGACTGTTAAGGGCACCGGTGTTCCCCATCTAATTGTATGGAGTTGAAACCTGGACTGTCAAAGAAAGTGGAAAAGGTAGGATCGATGCACTAGAAATGTGGTGCCGAAGTAGAATGCTCCGTATATCTCAAACTGAGCATCCCACCAACGCCTCGCTCCTAAAGGAACTTAACAACTCAAAGGTTGGCCTCAACAGTGTAGTTCACGATTCCCCGATATTTTGGACACGTATCGCGATAGCTAGCAGTCTTCCGAGACACTTGTTGTACAGGGTATAAAAGACCTTGCGGACGCTGGACGGATCCATTGAAAAACCTTACCAAAACCCCACTTAACGAGTGCGTGCGCCAAGCCTTAATTCGCGAATTATGGAGAACATCAAGGGTACAACAAACAAAGATTCCACACAACAACGTCTTCTCTGCCAAGAGTAACCGACTATGATGTTGACTTAAGAAAACTACTATATTAATTTTCACAGATCAGAGTTGACGAGTGCTCGGTACCCATCAAGTCCATTGAACTACAATTAGTGCGCGTTGAGACATGCGGCTGCGCTGACGGCTACTCTAGGGATGGTGAGTGATTTACGATATATCTGTTTGTACCACAGCCAGGATGCGACACGTGCTGACTCGCAGCAGCAGTGTAGGGGAGGAACTACCTCACAGTATTTTGTTTCCAGCAACCGAAATCCAGAATATCCAGATAGGGGAGGGAGACGTGGTGCGCGGCCGTGACATCCCGCTGTACATGGTGCTGCCGCGACTCTTCACTTGCCCCACCACCACCACGCTCAACTTTAAAATAGGTAATACTGCTCGACTGATTCAGGTATTACAACCCCCTGCGTTAAACAGTTCATCGCCATTCATTTAGTGGTGGTAATACGGCGCGTGACGTCACACCGCTGGGTGGCAGCTTCAGTTAGACCCAGCGCTGGATGAATGGCAACAGCTCTCTGTGTGCGAGTTTGCTTTGTTACCGTTATATTTTTGCTGCCTACTCGTTGGTAGCTGAAGGGGCTATTCCAGCTACTGGCGGACGGGTAGGTGAGCTCACGAGCTCAACCTGAGTGAATCGGCTAACACTACATACCCCTAGTACATGCTGTACTTCACAGGATCTATCGCCGGATCGGAATTGCGACCCACCGAGTGGGGTAACTCGACTGTTGGTTCGATTGTACTGATTATTGATTTTATTTTTTTTGCAGAGTTTGAACTGAACATCGCCGTGATATTTGAAGACGACTACTTGGTTACAGAAAATTTTCCGATATTACTTCTAAGGTGCAAGTAGTTTGAATAGAAAATTTAATAAAATATATTGCGGTTTATTATTTATATAAACAACTACTTCTTTTAAATTGTATGCAGCAGTGTCCGCCGGGGTCGGACGGACACCTCGGGACAGATTCGTTTTATGCATTACAGTAACTCTTTTGTTCTCTTAACTCGTTAACAGCTGCTAAACAGGAATGAGAATCTTTTGTCGAACGGAGACAGTGTCCTGCGTGCGTGCGTGCGTGCGTGCGTGCGTGCGGGCGCGCTCGCTCCGACTAGTCGCTGCTCGCGTGCATGTCGATACACGATGGAACACAATAATTACAACGCACACGGACACGTGTTGCGTTTATTACATTACAAAAATATTTATTTGTCGGAGACGGTTATCAGTTTGGTAATTAAACGAAACGCAGCACGGATCCCGAGAGATGGCAGCACGACCGCGGTATCGTCTGAACTCGACTGACTCCGTGCTACGACAGGGCCTAGTCGATGGAGGCGCGTAGACGCCATTAAACTTACCAACCAGCCTTCTTGAAGAGCGGTGCCTCCGTCCTAAGAACTGTCATTAGTTTTCGTTTGCTAACGTCAAGAGAAGATTTATAAATTATTCTAAGACAACAAACGTGATTGGTGTACTCAATATTTCTCTTGGTTTGATCACCCTATTCGCCTTTACGACGTTTAACGATAGTGTTAATAATGGTGGTTTCTCAGACATATAATAATCAACAAACAACTCAAAATCATTAATCAAACATTGAGCATCGCAAAAATTACAAAATTTACTGTAACACAAGATTAATCCAGTACAGGTTTTTTATAAAATACTAAATACAAGATTTGATACAGTATGTACAAAAGTTTTCTTAATAACAACAAGCGGCCCAGCCCCACCCAGCCACAGCACAGCACGCTGCGCCGGGCGGGTCACGTGTGCACGCCGTCACTTTACAGTATTAAAAAAGTCCGTTGTCGTCATGACTAAGTAATCAGGGAACAAAAGGCATTAAACACTTTAAGTAGTGGAGTTTAAGTAAACCAGGCTCTTCAGAACACTGGCTGTTGGAGTACTGCCTTGTGTGGGAGGCGACCTCGCGCGGATTCTCCTCGCGATTTCGTATTCCCAAATTACTACATGAAATAGGATTTTGAGCCCGAGCCCCATGCGGTGCGGGGGCAGCGCCGGGCCGGGCCGGGGCGGGGCTGGTCGCCGGGCCGGGGCGGGGCTGGTCGCCGGGGCGGGGCTGGTCGCCGGGCCGGGCGGTCAGTAGTCGGCGAGGTCCTGGTCGTGGTGTCGCGGCTGCACGTAGTTCCTGCAGAGCCCGTAGAACTGCTGCGGGCGGAGGCTCCTCTTTATGGCGTCGAACCTGTGCGCGTACACCCACCTCTGTCAACTGCTCCGAACGTCCCTCCCCAATTGTAAAGCAGTTTAACTCATATTTAATAGCTAATATATGTTTCACATTTACATCTCGTTTGTACCATCGTACCGGAGTAGAGTTCATCCATACTACCTGGAGTCACTGCGTTCATCCACAGTGCGCTTCCAGAGATCTTTTTTGCCACGTATCATCCGGTTTTGGAATGAGCTTCCCTTCACAGTGATTCCAGACCGCTATGACATGATCTTCTTGAAACGAGGCTTGTGGAGAGTACTTAGCAGTTGGCAGCGATTTGGCTGTGCTCCTAGCATTACTGACGTCCATGGGCGACGGTAACTACTCACCATCACGTGGGTTATGTGCTCATTTGCCTACAAAGGAAAAATATGTTTAAAATATTATGGCCACCCCGCTCTCTCTCCTCGACCTGACCAGTCGGATAGGAGCGCGGTTTTTACAAGTTTGTGAATGCTAAGTTTGACTAGTTAATGGGGGGACGCGCACCTCCAGCCCACGTGCGCGCGGCAGTCTCGGCACAGCGCGACGGTCCAGCTGTAGCCGGGGAACCACGAGTAGTCGGCGGAGGGCGGGCCGCCGGGCGCGGCGCGCGCGCGCGTCACCGTCACCACGCCGTGCACGTACCCGCCTGCAACGCGCCCGCCGCGCACGCACGCAGTCTCAGGATTAGTAAATTAACGAGATGACTCCACTTCATTCATTGGATATACATTTGAAACGTTAGAAATATGTGTGACCAAAACACACCCACTGCTACCCGCCGCACTTCCTACCGGAGCCCCGCTCTCGGCGCCGGTTCAGGTTTTCTAATTACTAGTTAGTGCCTTTCGACTCCAAACAGAAGAGAGCCCGCCGCTCGAACTGTCGATGACCCTGGTCTCTCAGGCCCTTTTGGCTCTTGGTGGGCGGAGCCGAGTGCCCGCTCCCCGCGCCCCGGCGGCGAACATACAGCGAGAAGCAATTTCTGCCAGGTACTGAACTTCCCTCCGCGGTGTCTCCTGGGCGCTATCTCGGTGGAGCCCCTCGTGTTATTGATATTCACGAGCGACAGTGACCAATTATCACCAAGTGAACTTTATGCTCGTCTGTTTTCGAATTCTATAAAGTTTGTGGAGTTGTTCGTGTAGTGGGCCGCGCACCCGGGTTGGTGTAGTTGGAGTGCACGCCGTGGCTGGACATGGGGAACACGTGCTCGCGCTGCGCCACCTCCCCGCCGCAGGACCCGCAGCACAGCGCGCACTTCTGGGCGCGGGAGAACTGCTCACAAACAAACTTTAAGGTCATTTAAGGTCAACGGGGCGACAAGACAAGTGTGCGCACTCTAGTTAAAGGGGTCGTCGTCACAGAACGGATTTCGGAGCAAACCCCACTGTCCGGATAAAAGTTCCCTGCCATGAAAGGTAGGGGTGAGGCTGATGCTGGAAGGAATTGAGGGGGGGCTGTTCATAGCGTGTCCGGCTGCATTGTACATCTATATATACTTAATACGATGGCTTGACGCCCGAGGACGGCGCTCCCCGTCGTCGATTTTTTTTTTTTATTGCTTAATAGGTGGATGAGCTCACAGCCCACCTGGTGTTAAGTGGTTACTGGAGCTCATAGACATCTACGACGTAAATGCGCCACCCACCTTGAAAATATTTATTGAATATTGTCCTCTTCCATTTTTTTAAATTTTTTATACATCTTCTTCTTCTTCTTCTTTTAGGTAGTTTGGCTCCAACGCCTTTGGCATTGATTTTGCCAATGTCAAAGTATTTACAAAAATGACAGGTGCTTAGAGAGGGAAAAAATTACTAAATCTAAATACAAGTAAATTTGGTCGGTTTTTCCATACGCGAATCTGTGGTTTTAAGAACAGCATAAACAAATATATGTTAGACTAACTACTTTAGAGATAAATATTATTAGCAGATAAAAATTTACACAGAATATTTACATGTTTAGAATAGACTAAAGTTAATAAACAATTAATATTAATAGGTCGGGGAATGTCATTGGGAAGGATATCATAAAGAGGGGATACGATATTGGGGCAGTCGAAGAAAATGTGATCCAGGGTACCCTCATCTAATCCACACTCACAAAGAGAATGGTCACGGACTCTAATTTTGGCAAGAAAAACAGGGGAGCAAACATGGCCAAGTCTAAGACGGATTATAGCTGAGACAATTTTTTTAGGAAGATGGCAGTGGGAGGAAAACCAAGGCTTAGAGGGCAGGGTCGGTTGCAAGTTACCATAATGCTTACCTACTGACTGACGAGAAATCTGCCAGCTTTCATTCCAAGATTGAAGCATATCAGATTTTGCCAGAGAATGTAAATCTCGAGGAAAAATTTTGTTATACTTGTTACAGCCCATAACAACAGCCTCCTTGGCACAGGAGTCAGCAAGCTCATTCCCACAAATTCCGCTATGACTTGGGATCCAGACGAGAGTGACATCAAGTCCGGAGCAGTGACATTGAAA